AGCACATGTGGCAAACTCATACCTATGACATACCTAGGATGGAATTATTTGGGATTTATAAAACTAAATCATAGGCTGTGAAGGTAACCCAGGGATTACAAACACATAGAATGAGAGGTAAACAGCAGCTGGCTATGGCTTGTTGTTCTGGTGACCCCTCCCTAGCCACTGGGTAAGCTGTTGCTGTGACTTGGGCAGGGTGGGAATGGGAAAGCTGAAGGCAGAGAAAGTGGTGAAGACAAGAGCAAATGCAAGAAAAAATCCAGAGTCATGGATGGCCAGACTTTGAGAAAGGCCTAATGGGGAGTGTGGAAAAAGGGCTTCCCTAAGGAAGGGGAGGTCAGGGAAGTTTGTTAAATGGCAGGGTGAGGAAACAACAGGATTTCTGGGGCAGGGGGGCTTTAAGAGGTAAGACACGAAGATTCAAGGTGGGTGAAGTTCACAGATTAAAACTCAAAGGGCCGGGAACATTTTGGAATGCTTTTTTTACTTCCTTTCGGATGGCTGGCAACTTTAAAAGTGCTTACAAGAAAGTAGTCCCAGCCCATGTCCCCACCCTTGGAGAGACTTAATTCCCTGAGGCAGATCCCAAAGGTCCTATAGTAGATTCAGCTTTGGAAATATATCTTCATATTACCATTCAGAAATTAGCAAGTCTGCCTTTAATCTACCCCCACCTTCTGCCTCTCATGGTGCCTCCCGAAGCAGGTGTTTCATCCCATGATGTGGCAGGGCCAGGAGCACAGGATAATATTGCAACATGTGCCAGCATGCATGTGGCATTGATACAAAGGGATATAGCAATCGACAACCAGCGGAGTTCAAAATAAACCAACTAAAGTAAGCTTGCAAACATTTGCTTCTTGTTCCTGCTTATCTGTCCTGCAGTGTAAATGCACATTTCTATTGAAATTGCATTAGATGGCCATAACTGAAGCTGTGATTTCTTCAGGCATTGAAGGAGATGAAGTTTTTGAATGATGGCCACCTTGCCGTAGCTACAATAACGTTAATGTTTATTTAGTTATTTATTCAAACAATTCATTTGACTGCTTATCTCCTTCTCACAACTCCAGGCAGCTAACAAATCCAACCCCAAAATCCAAAGACAAAAATGTAAAGGACTGTAGGACCTGTAGGACCATCTAAAC